GCATGTGTAGGATCTATAAACAGTTTATGAGAACTGATCTTATGACACACGATGAAATGAACAGATACATTGAAGAAAAAGAGGCACTACAGTACCCAGTGCTGATCCTGGAGTGTCATAACGTGAACCCAGCAATAGTATTATTCTTTGTTCAGAGTGATATTAGCCTGCTTGGGTTTGTTCAGTCTCAACATAATTGAAGATATGGATAACTGCATATATGTTTAAGTGAATAGGATTGATAACTATATTTCTTAGTTTTTGTTGGATAGTGAACAGAACCGGTTGCAATCTCACTGTTTGAACTCCCACTTTATATGTTCCATTTTTATATCTTGAACAACTATTTGTAAGAGGACAGTATGTAAACATCAACTAGTGATTTCTTACTACTTTTTCTCTGTTTATGTATGATTTCTACCCATTTTCTGTTTTGCTCTCCATTTTAAATAAAATTTTAAAAGAAGAATCAATCCTATTAATGAAGCTGGCACTCATGGGCCCTTTCCTACCAAAGAAACACACTTCTTTACCTTTGAAAATTTAATTTGTCCTTTAGGATTTCCTTCTTCTCATCCCTCCGCCCCCCCAACTCATTTATTTGACAGCTTTTTTGCATCATCTTTTCTCTTGTTTTGAGAGATTTGCATCTGAGAGATTTTAATTTGTTCTGATCTTAAAAAACAATGACATTCCTTTTTGTCTTGTCTAAGAGTCCACGGACAGTCTACATCTTTTCCCAAGTCCCTGACCATGTGAAGTAGGTCTTGGTGTCATCAGTTCTCCTCTGGCTCGTGACATACATAGGCTCTTGCTGGAGTCTGCTTTTCTGTGTGTTTTTCTGTATGCATTTGTGTTGCTGTCGCAGCTCATACCTGTGATTAGCCCCTCTCATTATTCCCTCCTAATAAAAATGTAAAATATATCCAACAAGAGGCACCATTTTGGGGCTGGGCATTTAGCTCAGTGGCATAAGCACCTGCCTTGCAAGCACTTGGTCATGAGTTTGATCCCCGGTACCGATAAAAAAGAGACACCATTTTCATGGTACAATTTGGTGTATGTGTGACTGTCACCATTATCCATTCCCAGGACATTTTCATCCTCCCAAATAAGAACTCCATCCCTATCACACAGTGGTCCCCACTTCACTTCCTTCAGACACTAGTAACCATAGTCCTTTCCGTGTCTGAGTTCGCTTAGGGGAACCATGCATAATTTGTCCTTTCATGACTGACCCCTTTCACTCAGAATAATGGTTTCAAAGCTCATCTGCACTGTAGCATGAATCAGAATTTCATTCGAGGGCCAAGTGACAGTTCCTGCTGTGCAGGGACCACAGCTGTCTCCCTATCATCTCTTACAGACACAGAGTTACTTCCATAGTTCGGCTCTCCAAATGACTCTGCTGCAAACATTGGCTACACGTATCTGAGTTGTTGCTCGTAAGTCTTTTAGGAAATCGCCTAAGAACAGAATAGCTAAAACAAACTGCAATTCTGTTTAATTTCTGGAGCAGCTGCCGAGCTGGTTTCCAGGTTGGCTGCCCAACTTTCTCTCCGTACCTGTGATGTGCTAAGGCCCATCTTCTCACCGCTTCGCTGATACCCACTTTTCTTTTTAACAACAGCCGAGCTAACGGGTCTGGAGTGGTGCCTCATGACAGGATTAGCATCTCCTTACTGACAGGGACACGGGGCACTCCGGGACGTGTTTCCTCTGTGACTCCTTTGCGGAGAGGTCCATCTGAGCACACTGCCTGCTTTACGTGGGGTTAGTCTTGCTGTTGGCTTGTAGGAGTTCCTTATGTAACCCAAGTACTAACCTCACATCCGACATACGGTTCCCAACATTCCCTGCTCTGAGTGCTGTCTCATTCTCTACACGGCATCATCTGATGCACCATGGCTTTTAACTGGGCAAGTCCATTTATTTGCTCATTTGTTGCCTTTGGACAACTTTGGGCATTATCTCTATAAAAATACTGTGAAACCCAACACCGTGACAATGATCCTGTAAGTTTTCTTCTCAGTTTTAGTTTTAGCTCTTGCGTGTAGGTCTTTAATCAAATTTGGCTACGTGGTATTGAGTCAGGGTCCAGATTCCTTCTGCTATGTGTGGACACCTCATTTCCCCAGGACCGTTTATACAACAGTGGTCCCGAGCACCTCTGCTTCACTGCCAGCACCGTCCTGAGGGGTTTGTGCTTGTTCAGTCTCTGCTGGTTTGGAAGTAACACGCTACTTAACTTTTTAAGGATTTCAATCTAGTACTGAGAAATTTCACAATAATATAATTTTCTGTACCCCCCCCCCCCACCTTGATGGGTACTTGGTAAAGTCTGGTTTAGGAATTTTTTCTCAAACTATTTCTTTGATAATTTCTTTCTTTTCTCCAATTTTCTCTCCATGATTTCTGGTATTGGTTTTCTTTTCCTCTTATTTTTGTTTTTTGGCCTTTTGGCTCTTGTAATCTACTTGAGAGTTTATTTATTTATATCATGCAATCATTCGCCATATTGGATTTGTTTTTAGAAAGTTAATCTCATAATTTACTTTTCAGGAATCCTTGATGGTAATCTGCTTGTTTCATAACATTGTATTCTTGTTTTAGGAAACTGGTCTTTTCTCTTAAGTTCAAAAACTTTTGAATAGTTTTTGACATTTCTCTCTGTTCTCTTCAGAGTTTCTGTATGGTTACTTCATGTCTTTTTTCCTTTACCTCTTTGTTTGTATCTTTCACATTTAGAATTTTCCTCAAATAAGTGATAGTCATTGGTGCTTATAAGTAATATCCTAAAACATTGATTGAAGGTCTCTGCTGGAGGCAGGGATTGTTTTTTCATTGCCACAACACAAGAGTTAGTATGACATCACTTAATTCATTTTTTTCTCATCTAGACCACACTTGCCTGAAGGCTAGCGATCTTCTTTTGTAAATATTTTTATTCTCTTCACAGCCTATCATTATACTTCAGTAAGCAATTAATCCATGCTTATTGCTTTGATGATGTTGCAATCGCAGAAAAAGAACTGGAAACTTCAATCAATTGTTTGGTCTTAGGAAAACAGGGAGGTCACAAATCTCCCTGCCCCTGGGCTCATGGGCCATTTTTCAGATATGGAGAGTCTGTGTTGCATCCAGATACCACCTTCAGGAGGGCAGGCGAAAGCGGACAGGAACAATGGCCTTGGAGAGAGGTCCGTCTGCCTCTGATCAGATCACACAGGGAGGTAAAGCAGCTGACGGAGATTCTGTAACCCCAAGATCCCAGGATGCAGGGGAAATGGGGTGACATGGTCAGAGAGCAACACTGTCCCATCTCCCTGTGGAGGGCATGACGGAGGGCAGCTGGGTGTGTGGTGCGCACATCCAAAGCAGACATCAGAAAGACAGAAATAAGATGGAGACCCTGCAGAAAGACAGCACGGGGACCCTTGGTAAACAACTACAGTGGTGTCTTATCTGCTTCCACTCTGTAGAGCTCCTCTCTCACCTCCAGCAGGACGTGAGCTGTAGAAACAGTGCTTCCAGGTCCCAGTGCTGTCCCCCTGGGGAATGTGTAAGGGTGCTCTTGGAGTATGCAAGGCTGGGGTGAAGCAAGCTTTCTTCCTCTAACCCAGCCTCTCTGTAAATTTATATTTCTGATCTGCACGGCAGCTGAGAAGAGGTCAGTCCTGCACAGCCAGAGCTCCTCCCCTACCCTGGCCTCCTTTCCCAATTTCTGCAGCGCTTTTAGCTCTGAACCCGGGTACCTCAGTGAAGCAACCAGGCCCCTTGTTACCTGTTCTCACTTCCTGTGGTCCCTCTGCAGAGGACCAGGTTTCCCAGCTTCCCATGGAGGTGGGTGGGGTCTGACCACAGGATGTCCACGGCATGATGTGCACAAGCTCTAGGCTCCGTCCTCCAGGTGAGGGGTGTGCCCTGCCCTGCCCCCCTTCATCCTCCTGTGTGGGGAAGGGGAATTCAGTGCAGGGAGCCAGGGAGGCAGCTGTGAACGGAAGCTGCATGTCGTGGGGATGAACAGTGTAGACAAAGGGAGCCCGGGTTGCGGCCTCGTGAGACCTGCTCAGCCACACCAGGCTGTTCCCGCAGACTGTTCTAGAGAGATGCAAGGCTCTTATTGTAAGCATTCTGCTGCCCTTGCTGCAACTGCTGACCTGGAATCTTACCATGTACAGTGGCATCTAGAACTTGGCCTCGTGTCAGTTAAGTGGCATCAAGAGCCCAGACTGGCTTCTCACTGGGCAGACAGCAGAGCGCTAGTTACCGACACTCTGCCTGGTGCATCTTGTGGGCCATGCAAAGGGGAAGGAGGCCCGCAGAGGATTCCAGGTACACAGGGGCAATGTTCCAATCCCGCAGAGCTCCCGTATGTTGTCCCACCCCACCCCCACCACACATCAAACACCTCAAAAGAGAGCATTCATCGGGCGTGATATACATTTCTGAACATTTCCTTCCGCAGAGTCCTCTCATTCCACCGGCTCCTGCTTCTCCCCGCATCGTGCTGCCCACCCTACCGCTCCTTTTTCTCTGCCCCTTCTTGTATTTGCAGCCGCATCTCTAGCTCTGTGACCTTTTTCATCTCTAAAGCGAGGCGGCTCATTCATCTTACTTCCTTGTGCGATCCCAGCTCTGCCTCCCTGCTGGTGAGCAGAAGGCCACACTGTTCTGTTAAAGGCAGAGGAGGATGCAAGGCCAGGATTGTGTACTTTGATTCCTGTTCAGGAAAAATATAAAATAAGGGGAGAGCATCAAGTTTTTAGCAAATGGAGAAAAGAAATCTGCTTAAAATACTAAAAAAACAAAATTTTAAAGAATTATTTTTAGTTAAAAAGAGATGCTTTATTTTGTAGACTAGGTATGGTGTTATGGATTGAGAACTTAACGCCAGCTGGATTATATCAGCATGCATTGAGAGAAGATGCTCCACCTGAGGAGCATTGCCAGGATAAACAGGTGGAGAAGAAGGGAGGTGTTAAGGGTTGAGGTGTTAAGGAGGCACTGTGGGTTCTCCTACGAGTTGCTGTCTAAGCTGTTGGTTCTCCTGGAGAAGCCTTGGTCCTCACATTGAGTATTGCTTCCTGGCTCCTGGCTCCGGAGGGGAAGACATGTGCTGCTTGGTCTCCAGTGTGAGCTCGTCACGCTGCTTCCTGGCACGTACCCGACTGTGCTTGTTGGAGGAGCTCGGGGCCTCCGTGTTGCTGAGGAAGGCTGTGGTGCCTTTCAGGACAGCCCTGGTCTTTGTTGTGAGTGTGACTTCTTGGCTCCAGTGTAGAACCCTCATCCCACTAGCACAGCTCCTTCATCCTGCTGGCATAGACTTTCTGGCTTCCACCGCTGACCCTTGGGTCTTCCTGGCACGGATCTGTAAAAGAGACTGGCGTGAGTCTTTCTTGTGGGCTCTGGACCTCCAGTTGGGCTCGTGGGAGGCATTGTTCTGAGTTCTGGGTTTTTATCTGGACTCATGTGGGACATTGCCATGGGGTTTAGGCTCTTGACTAAAGAATCTGTGTCTTTGGTGTTGTGGATAGATTTCCTGCATTTCCTGTGTTAACTCCTGTGACCATTATAGAAATATTATAAACTCCATGTCCTACTTCTAGTTGTTTTCTGTGTACAACCCCTGACTACAACATATGTTATGAGACATAACACTAGGAAACATCATAAGAAATTTCTACTTTTTTTAAAAAAACCTGCTAGTTAATTTTCCCATAAATATTTATCATCTGGGAAGCCAAGAAGCTCTCCCAGGTTGCTGATGCAAGAACAGGTGCAGAGGTGGCCAAAATATGGTATCCGTTCTCCAGAAGCTGAGTCAGAAAGAAGTAAAAGCAAAAGTGTTTGCCAGCTCTCTGTCCCTGTGACTGAATACCTGGGAAACAACCTAAAGGTGGAAGGAATCCTTTTAGCTCAGAGTTGCAGAGGTTTCAGAGTCAGGCAACTCCATTACCCTCCAGCCCACGGGGAGGCGGAAATTCCGCAGAGGAAGGACGTGGAGGGGAGCACTGCTGGCCTCACCACGGCTGTGTGAGCGCACTTCTGCTGCCCCACAGCGTTCCTGTCCTAGTGGATGGTGCCATCCCCAGGTGTCCAGCATCACACTGCTGTTCCAGGTGCCGATCATCTCCAGAAACACTTCCACAGCCATGCCAGCTGTGTGACTTAGTAATTTCCCAGTAATTTCTCAGTCCGGCCCAGTGGACGACCAAGATTAGCTGTCACATCCAGATTGCACACACCTTGACACACTGCTTTAAATATGGTTAGCTCACAAACCTGGCTTTCCCAAACAGTTTCTCTCATACTGGTCAACACCTATGCACCAATTTCTAGCATGGACAAGGTGGTCACTTTGGTACATGATTTATATGTAGTGCTTTGTAAATTTAGAAGAAGGAAAATCTCTATTCCAGGGACAGTCAGGCAAAGAAAGCTTCAGGGGAAATGTTACATTAAAGTACGGTCTGGGAAGGCAGAAGGAATCTATAAGCAGGTGAGGAAAGATGTGCTTAGCAGAGAAAAAAGCTTCTTGGAAAATAGTGCTTCCTATTAATGATTTCCCTCTATCATAGATGACACCACAGACATGAATTCGCAGCAGCTTTGTGACATCCTCATGAGGTGTTTTGATAAACCCATGTAAGAAGTCCTTGGGAGAACGTGCCAGAACCTTGGAGTTTCTCTAGAATCTACCTCCCACATCTGCTATAAATAAGCTTGTCTGCCTGCGTAACTCTGGTTGCCATACTTGGCTTCTGCCTCTGCCCAGCCTTGTGGATGGGTGCGTTGGTTGGGTTAATTCTGGCTTTACTGCCCGTGCTGTCTGGGGCACTGTAGCTCCCAAGTTAGCCCCTCTCCACTGGAACACCTCACTCCAGTGCCTAGAGCCCTGGTCAACAAGCAAGATTCTGACTCTCTCATCTCTCCAGACAGGCGGGCTGGGTTTAGATCTGTGCACAGGGCCTCATATGCATGGGCAGAGAGCTCGGGTTCTGTTTTACAGATGACAAATAAACACTGGAACAGTGCTGAGTATGATTGGTGAGGATGGGGTGAGGCTGGAGGCATTGGTTTTCTGACCAGAAGAGATCAGTAGCCTGGGGTTTTGTCTCCCCAAGTGATCAACTTCACGAACCATCTCTTCTCTTGTAGGATGTGGACTCTAGGGTGCTAATCACATTTCTCTTATACCACTGTTTTGTAAACATGGTACCAAGCAATGGATCAGTTGCCATATCAGTATTCTCTTCCTGTGGTCACTCTGCATTAGTGTCCTCAGTCTCTTCAGAACCAATCAGTAGGTCACCTGCCACCTCAACCTGCTTTTCCTGCCTTTCCTGACATTTCTTTCACTGAGTCCCATAAATGTGTTGCATTCCGGCCAGATGGAGCTGGCAGCTCTGGCTGGACACACCCTGCTTCCTGCCTGTTCTCTTTTGATTCTGCTTCCTTTTCTGCAATCAGGATGTCTTTCTATCTCTGCTTGTTGAAGCCCCATCATCCATCCTTGAGGACATGGGTCCAGGGTTACTTCCTGTCCCTGTGCTGGGTCCTGGCAGTCTACTCCTCTCCTGGCCTGCGACCTCTCCCGCTGTGCCTCGCACTGTTCTGGTTCGTGTCCTTGTGCTGTGCACTGAGCAAGGCTGAGAAATGGCTCCTTCTACCTCTCTGGTGCCTGCCCCGAAGGCCTCCCTCCCTGGGGACCTGGGTCTGTTTAAACTGCTGTCATCAGACTGACAGGAAGTTGCATCTGAAAAGAAGAGGAAAGGCATCCATAGAAGGTCATCGATGCACAAAACCAGCAATCTGTTAGAATAAAACTTCACCAAACCAAATGCAAAGAACCAAGGTGAATTGCCAGGTCTCTTCAGATGTGAACCGAGGCTATAGATCTAACATCTATGCCAATGGTCATAGATCCAAACGCTATATACGTATATGTGTTCATAGGTCTCACACACACGCATATATATACATATCTGAGTCATAGATCATGTATATATGTAAACAAAATCTTTTTAGGAGAGAAGCGTTGCTCTGTGGGATGCAGTAAAGACCTGTGTCGATGTGGAAAAGCAAGTGAGGCTTTTATTCGTCCAGAAAGGAGAAGGGAAGCAGCCTCTGGGCTCACTGCTAGATTCTTAGACAAGCCAGGAGTTGCGGCTGGAGAGTGATGAAGTCAAAATGTTACAGAAAAGGAATAATAATCTTGGTAGAATTAAATGAATAAAGTTTAGTGCACTGATGTCATCCTTTTGCAACTTTTTTCAGTGACTTACACTGCTATTTTAGGCTGCATTCTGAATGCTCCAGTTTGTTTAGTAATGGCTCTCAAACATCTGGTCTTGTCTGTATCCCTCTATAAGCAAAAACTCAGGTCTGTAGGGAGATCATTGCGTTTTACAGGCCACTTAGAATTCCCTCAGAGCTTTAAAGCACTAAAATACTAAGCTTGTGGCTTTCCAGTTTGACCCAAACCCAAGTCTATCTGCAGTTTGCCCTGACCTTACCTCACACAGAATTCAAAGCAAGAATATTTTGCAGCACTGGGGATCATACTCAGATCCTCATATATACTTGGAACCACTCTATCACTGAGATACTCCTGCACCCCCGAAGAACATGTGGAGGCCCCCCTGGATAACTCTCCTTGAACAACAAAGAGCAATGACCTCCCCTTTGGCTAACCCTGGCCTGTCTCTATGTGCTGGTCCGTACAGAGCTGGCAAGCCATTTCCTCTCCCCTTCACTTTGCCCTACACAATGTAAATGGGCGTGGCTGAGGTGCTGATGTGCAATCTCTGAAACGGTGGCTGTTTCCCTGCCCTCAGGGCTCCCAAACATAGTTGAGCCAGGCAGGATGTAGAGTGTCCACTGTCAACTGGCTTCCAGCCTCGAGCTTCGAGATAAGAGGCTGTGACTTTCCAGGGCAGAAAAGTTTGCACTACAGAACTGAAGCACTGGCCCCCAAAGTTTAAATGCTAGCTCAGCGGTAGTATGCGGATTGGTCTTTCTGTATCCTTCCTCCCTGCGTATTGCAGAGGTGCTTTCAGGCTCCTAGCTAGCCCCGCTCACAGACTCAAGTAATTCCCCATTCTCAGGGCCGCTTGTCCTCAAGCCACTCCCTTCTTCATAAATTAATAAAATCCAAGTTAGACCCTTTGTTCCAGTGGAACTTCATCCTGGCTGGACTTCAGACCCCTAAGCCTGTGCTAATTATAAGTACGGCTTACAGTCTTTATTCTCACCATGGTTTGCACTGGAAGTGGTAGATTGGAATTAACTTGTTATAATTCCAATAACTTTTCAATGGGATTACAAATCTAAACTTCCTAAACAGTGACAAGGACAGGAAAGGGCTCTCTAAAAAGGAAGTTTGATCTTTCAAATCCAAACTCCTTGCCTTTCAACGCCTCCTCCGGCGAGGACATGACTCTTTATTTGCCACTATAAAGTCTTCGTTAACAATTCTGTTGTCTTGTGCTGCAAGACACATGATGTCTCAGCACAGTGTGACTGTCACATCAGGAATGCTGAGCAAGGGGACCTTTGATCAGCAGCCCCTCTCCTGGTCAGGCCAACAAGATGCACCACCCAGCTGTTCAGGGAGCAGCCATCATCTGAGGTTGGTAGCTTCAAACTGTTCTTGAGGTAGGAACAGAATTTTGGTTTGGAAGCAGCAGATGGGAAGAAGCCATATAGGATATAGGAGTTCTCGCCCAAGTATAGGTCAGAGGGCAGGGCTTCCGGGAGCGCTCAGGGGGCAGGGCCCTTACTAGAGGGCCAGGGTTAGGTTGTGCTGCTTTGGTGTCAGCTCTTCTGCCAGAATCCTGGCATCTGAAATCCAGTGAATTTTTCTAATATTTATCTGCAGTGTTTAGATCTTTGCCCTTATGCCCTATTCTTGCCGTCAGTTTCCATAGGTGTGAAATTTGCCCTCTTGGGCGTGAAGCTAAGACCGTCAGTGACACCATGAAGATCTCTGCAGTGAAATGGCTCGCCTGTTGGATTTGGCCTGCATCCTGCCTGAGTTCTAAGTGGACAGTGATCCTAAAGGGACAGGGTGTGTGGGGAGCGTTTCTGTGAGCTAAGATCCTCATCTGTCTTTTGCGGCAAGAGGTATCTGTACTTCCTCACCTGCGGACAAATACGACAGTGTTCCTGGTGGTGAATGCACATCACTTTTATTTCCCTCTCTTCCTTGCTTTCTGTTTCCTTCTTCTCTCCACATAGCTAATGAAGCTCTCACTAATCCTGTCTCCTCTGGACTCTGAGAAAAAGCCACAGAACATTTCCTCCATGAAACAAAGGCTTGGGTTCCACCCTTTCTCCTCCCCTGCCCCCAAATTAGGAGTTCCCAGGATTCTCCGATGAGAAGTAAATTTATGAACTCTTATTTTTTGCTGAAATTCTTTTTTTTAATTTAGAAAAATATACATAACACAAAAGTTACCATTGTAACCACTTACAACTGCACACATCCAAACTTGCATTGATGGAATAATCTCTGTAAGTTTTTTCCTAAAGTATGTTATTAACATGAAACAGTATGGTAGCAAATATTATGATGGACATTACCTTAGCTCCCTGGTCCCATCAGCCCCTAAAATTGGAACTGAGCTAAAGGGTTTGATCTGGTATTTTATTTACCAAGCACAATTTATAAATGGGAACACCTTGGTATCTTAGGTCCCTTATTCATGTATATGTATGAAGACATACTTCCCCTCCTAAGTGACAGAGGGAGAGCTCTTCAGATATTTGGGGGAGGTTAGAGGCCCGGGTTATATCACCGTGTTGTGTGTGAATGCCTGCCTGTGGGAAGCAGAGGGCATCTTGGATTTACTGCCCTGTGAGCTCGGTCAAGGACTAGTCATTAGGAAAGGAGGAGGAAAACCTTGGAACAAGCCAAGAAAATACTGCAAGTTCAATTACAATTCATGTTAGTCCATTATGCTGTTCAAACCCCAAACAGGTGGCCAGGAAATTAAATCTCTGTCCAAACGCCTCGATTGTCCAGGTCTGTTACAAATTGGGGTGCAGGGTGGCATTTCCAGGCAGGTGCAATCTTCCAAGAATCCTAGGCGATGGTGTCATCTAGGTCATCTGTTGGCATCTGCCCGAGGTGGGAGGGTGGGAGTGACAAGGACCCTGAGGTCATCAAGAGGGCTCAGGTCACCAGCCACGCTGGCTAAGATTTGGAGCTGGCTCCCGCCAGGCAAGGGCTTGAAGGGTAGGTGGCAGCTTGCACAGGATGAGGTGCCTGGGAAGCAGGCTGAATGGAGCATGGTGTGCGGGCTGTGTGTCCCGCAGGCTCCCCCGAGCCCCACCTGTGAGATGGACAGAGCAGAGGACTGAAGTCACAGTGCTTCTAGCAGAGGTTGCTGTGACGTGCAGACACCCAAAGTGTAGCCCCTTATCCATCCCACGGGGAGCTCGGGAGTCCGCATGGCCTTTCTAAGATGTCAGCACTTAGAAAGCGGCACCCAGATGGAGGCCTGTGATCACAGGCATGGTGGCTCCCTTGGTGGAGGGCGTTGCCAGGAGAGAGGCTCTGAGTGGCCAGCCCTGCATCCTGAGTGAGTCCAAGTGGAACCCAGTGAGAAGGGCCGGGCAGAAGGCTCTGTAGCGGACAGAGCGATGTCCTTGGCTCACTGCTCATGTCAGATGAGATCGAACAGCTCCACTCTATGGTCCCCTCACCCTCCCTGCATCCCCATCTCGGCTACTTGCAGTGCTGGTGGGAAGAGGCAGCCACTGGGACTGTGTCTGTGTCACCAGGGCCAGCGCTAAGGATGGAGTACTTTCCAGTTTACACACTGAGTGGACACTCGAAAGACTCCGGATGAATCACCCTAAAAACCCAGAGATTTAAAGAGCTGATATGCAGAGGTGACATAAGTTATTCATGTGTTTATACCTGAGCAAGAATTCTGGGTCCTCCTTTCCCCCCAATTCCATCACCCCCAGAGCTGAAGATCTAGCCAAACATTCTTTTTCCCCTCCTCCCCCTGTACGCGTTTCTACTTTGAGGTACCAGAAATTGTAACCTAGACCTTTACAGTGGGCTACATCCATTCCCACCCTTTTAATTTAAATTTCTTTTCTTTTTTAAAATCTTGAGACAGACTTGCACTGAATTATTGCTAACTTGCCCAGGCTGGGCTTGAACTTGTGATCTTCCTGCCCCAACCTCCCAGGGTGCTGGGATCACAGGTGGGTGCCACCTGGCCTAACTAATCTTTTTGTTCTTTAAATATTTTTAAATAGATGATTATATGGTGGGCGCAGAGGTAGATTCCAAGAATTCACCAAATGGAATGTGGATCCTGCAGTCAGGCTCACAGCTCAGACAGTGGAGGGCGGAGAATGGGTGACAGCTTTGAGGGTCTCTGGGGACGTGGAGGCTGCTGTGGGAGGTGGTCGAGAAGGGGCCAGAAAAGGTTCTTTCCTCTCTACCTTTCTGTAGACTCTGCATCCAACAACAGTGGAGACAGACGTTTGTCAAGTTTGGCAGAGGCATCCAGAATTTAAACTGAAGATCTGTTTCAAGCTGCCTGGTTTCCTTGATAGAAAAGAAATCATGTTTTGGTAAAGCACGGTAATTGTAGCTAACAGTTAAGCAATATCCCTCTCAGAGCATCCAAAGGCTGGGCTCTGTGTTTGGTTAAAATGTTCTGCAATGAACAAAGCCCCGGAAACTGAGCCCGACTTTCCTAGTCGCTCTGTCCCCTGCGTGTCCTGCTGCTCACAGTGAGACTCAGTGTAGCCTGCTCTGTGGTCCTGGCTGGGAGGGGCGCTGACTTCAGTCTCCGAGTCCGGTCACGTTTTCTTTCGGGGAGCCTGATCAGGTCTTCCACAGCGCACCCCATTTTCACACGTACCTTATCCTTTCCTTACATATTGTGTCACTTATCACCCATCCAACCTATGAGAGGGGAAACTGTGAGAGCACAGGTCTTGGTTCCGGTCAGTATTAATCCCTCTTCTCCAGACAGTACGAGGCACGTGGCATGGTGAGGAGCACCTGCTGAATAAGTGAAACCTTTACTTGGAAGGGGCAGGCTCTGCCCTGACCATTGGTGGCCAAGTGTTATAAACTAGAGTGCAAACACCTGGTCATCTCCCCCTTCCCCTACCTGACTGCGATTTGCTCTCAGGAAGTTCCCCGTTTGTCTGTCCACACAATGACCCACCCACAGCTCCTGTGCTTTGAGCTTATTCTCGAAGGCCTGCAGGCAGGATGTGGGGCTGCATTTCTAGTCCAGACTTCCCTGTCAGGCCCAGTTCACACTCTCCCTCTTAAGCCTAGTACGATCTGGGCACTTAACATTGCTTGAACCCATTTTGAGACGCTCAGGTACCTGCATGGAAAAACAAATCATCAGAGAGAGCTTACCACACCTGTGTGACCAAGGCCCCCGGGGATGAGTAAGCCTCTTCTGAAGAATGCATAATCTGTAGCTAGAAACACCTTTTGATAGAATTTTTAGCACCGCTAAAAAGATAAGAAACATTAAATAAAGTGGCCTTTATTTTAAGAATGTGGAGAGAGACTCCATGACCTCCAGGGTCTGGCTTTCTCTCTGACCAGCACGTGGTGTGGGGGCATACATTAGCTTAGGTTTGGGGTGGAGCCTAAGGGGCATTACTGATGCACAGGTAACCCATTGGAATTCATTGCACCACAGGTAAATTGCCTAGGGGTGGGAAAGGTGACCTCAAGATAGAGCCCCTTGGTTCCTCCTCCCAGCCTCCCACCGCTGCAGCTTCCCATCCAGGGCAAAATCCTTTCAACTTTGCTGCCTTTACTTGAGGCTGTTAGCCTGTCTCCAGGGAGCCGCCAGAGGCAGGTTTGCTCTGATCAGGACTACTCTGAAATTTTAACCTCCAAGACAGGATGGTATGGAGTTTTCCCTGGAAGGCAGTGCTTTCAATGCTCTGTGTGGTTGAATGAAAAACAGTAGATTGTCTTTCACTCCCAGAAGTTCAAGCAACATATGACCCTCCTAGGACTGTAGGGCCCATCTCCTGAGGAAGAACCTGCTGGAGACCAGAATAGTGCTTTGTAGTTGGGGAGTGGGGCTGTCTTGACACAGAGAAGTGGCTTGCTTGGGAGACAAAATCCACCGGAGGAGCCAGTTAAGAAAGAAAAAGTAGGCTATTATGTGAAAAGAATTACTAGTTGGCTTTCCTCACTATAACAGAAGACCTGAGGTAATTAACTTTGAAAGAGGAAAGGTTTGCGGAGTCCCTGCAGAAGCCCGTTCCTTTGTCTGAAGGACTGAATACTTCTGCAAGCAGAGAGGCATCGCAGCTTCCTGAGGCACCTCAGCCTGTGGTGAGTGCCCAGCACAGTCTGCCCAAATCTCAGACTGTTCCGGACCCCCCAGGCTTCTGGGTGCAGAGAAGTGGAACAGTGGGTTAGAGGCCACTACAGCTGCCTCCCCATCCCCCCCCCCCCCCCCCCCCCCCGGCTACACTTGGAAGTCTGCTGAGCTCCTGACGGATGGGCGGGCCTACACTAACCCCCGAGCCCAGCCGCACCTAGCCATCTCCTGCAGAGGAGGAGCTGGGCGGATCCGGAGTCCCTGCAGAAGCCCGTTCCTTTGTCTGAAGGACTGAATACTTCTGCAAGCAGGGAGGCATCGCAGCTTCCTGAGGCACCTCAGCCTGTGGTGAGTGCCCAGCACAGTCTGCCCAAATCTCAGACGGTTCCGGACCCCCCAGGCTTCTGGGTGCAGTGAAGTGGAGCAGTGGGTTAGAGGCCACTACAGCTGCCTCCCCCCCCCCTCCCCCCCCCCCGCTACACTTGGAAGTCTGCTGAGCTCCTGACGGATGGGCGGGCCTACACTAACCCCCGAGCCCAGCCGCGCCTAGCCATCTGCCTGCAGAGGAGGAGCTGGGCGGATCTGGAGTGCCTGCAGAAGTCCCTTCCTTTGCCTAGAGGACTGTGGATATCTCTGCAAGCAGGGAGGGATCACAGGCTCCTGAGGCACTGTGGCCTGTGGAGAGCACCCTAACCCGGCTGCAATTGAAGAGCTGTGGATCTTCCAAGGGGCAGGTGGGCGCACAGTGTCCCTGAGGCCCAGCTTGTCTGGAACTGCGGAGTTCTGAGCAGGCAGAGGAGGGACACTGGTTCTGCAGGCCCAATGGCTTGGGGTAGTGTGGTGTCAGAGGCTCAGTAGCTCCAAGCATAGAAGGGGATTTTCAACAGATCCTGAGGAAGCTTTCAAATAACACTTGAAACACAGAAATATACAAAATGACAAAACGAAAGACCAAATTACAACCTCAAACCTCCAGCCCATCTCAGGAAACCCTAGGAGCAATGTATATAGAAAAAAATATATCCCATCCACCTCATATATCGGACATAATAGCTACTGAAGTTGACAAACAACTCCAGGAAGCTTTAAAGAAATTCAAACTCGAAATAATCTCCCAGATAAAAGAAGAAATGATAAAAGAAATGAAAGAGATTCTAAATATATCTAAAGAAAACACAGATAAAAAATTGGAGGAACTAAACAAAAAGATAGAATCCCTAGACGAGCAATATAAGAAACAAACAGAATACATAATGCAGATGCACAGAGATATACAGGAAATAAAAAACTTCACTGAAAGTTGTAAAAACCGCCTTAATGAAAGTGAAGATAGAATTTCAGACCTTGAAGACATGATTGCAGCTAGTGAACAGGAAAGGAAAGATCTTTTGAAAATAACAAGGAATCAGGAAACAACAATTCAACAACTGCAAGACGATGCAAAGAAGAATAACATAAGAATGATAGGGATTAATGAAAGAGAGGGAGACAACATGAAGGATGTCAGGAGGATATTTAGAGAAGTAATAGCTGAAAATTTCCCAAGCATGAGATCAGAAACTGACATCAAGATCAGTGAAGCATATAGAACTCCAAACACTCATAACCAAAATAAAACTACACCCAGACATATAATAATCACCATCCCAGAAATCCAACACAAGAATAGATTACTAA